TCCAGAAGCTATTTAACTAAGGCCACTTAAGTAACAAAAGATACATAAAAAACCATTTTTTACAACTTTACTTTGCTATTTTACTGTCAAGATTTTGCAAATGAGATTGTGTGCTACATGCCAAGTGATGAGGAAATATTTTTAGAAAGCTTTGCCAAAGAATGCAGTGATCTTGCTATTTCTGAATTGCATGTGTGGAAGAAAAATAAAGATGTAATTATATTTGTCTACAATAATAGGTTTTATTGCTATTATACCAGGATTATTTAATAATTCAAATCTATGATACTGTAGTACTGAAGTTTTTATTGACATGCTGGCAAAGAAATAAACATGACCACTCTTTTTGCCATCTGTTTATAATGCTATATAAAGAAAATGATTCTGGTTGCTGTGGAAACTAACATTTCCAAAACCACAAGTTACTTCAGTTCTCCACCTTTTAAAATCTTGAGCTCCCTCAGGAATGAATACACATACACACGGAAAAAATATCAGAAATATTTCATTTACTTTCCCACCTACTATTAATTGTAAAGTGTGTTGAATATATGCATTTTGTCACAAATGAAAACTTTTGTTATTCACATTTAAGTAAAATTATTGATATTCTGAACATAGTAATGTCTTGAATCTACATTTGTATATAGGACATTGATTGCAGGGTTCAGTGATGGCATAAAAATACTACCACATAGGTTTTAGTACTAAGAAATTGCTATTTACAAGAGCTTCTTCTGGACTATGTTTACTTAATTCCTTGCCTTTAGGTGCTTTTGGTGAGACATGTCTTTTTTTGCTTGTGTCCTTGCTGGCATATTATCTGGCTTTGGAGGGGTAAAATATAGTGGCAGCGTAAAAGGGTTGACAGTCATGCTGAAGTACCAGAAACTGTACCAGATGGCCTCCAGACACATCAATATCCTACAATCCTATCATTCTTACCTGGGTGTCTTAAGTATAATGGGACTAATATACACTGGAAGTGGTCAGAGTTAGTCTGATGAACATAGCAAAGTGGGCCAGCTATCTTTGAAAATAAATAGTAGACCCAGTGGAACTATAGCCACTCATGGTTCCTTGGCATGCATGTTTGGATATTCATGTCCAACATTTTGGATGACATCAAGTTTATTGGGAGTTATACAGGAGTTAATTGCACTGTGGATTAGGGAAGTGGCACCAATTCTTTGTGTTAACTTAACAAAACTCCAGTTATTTGTTAACCCTTTCTTCAGCTTTACAGAGAAGCACATTAGAAAAGAAGGAAGGATGGAAGGAAGGAAAGGCAGGAGCAAAATTTATATGCTACCTCTTGAAGACTAAACTCTTCTGGCCATTACACATTGATCTTGTTTTGACTCAGCCTAATTGTATTAGCTTTGCAGAGTTTCTAGATGCTGATGACAGTGCATTCCTGCTTCTTGGAGGAAAGCTACCCTGTTTCCCCGAAAATAAGCCCTACCCCAAAAATAAGCCCTGGTTAAGATCATCAGCCCGACAGACGCATGTAGTATGTCTGTTGCAGCACAATTTGAGGTTTGGAGAGTTAGGACGATGTTCCAGAAGATGATGACATGACTGTATTTGAATAAATGTAGATTGTTGTACATGAAAAAATAAGACATCACCTGAAAATAAGCCCTAGCACATCTTTTGGAGCAAAAATCAATATAAGACCCAGTCTTATTTTCAGAAAAACATGGTATATCCACCTCTGGCCTTCTTTCTGTATTCCAGAAAGAACATCTCAGTAAGCGGAAACTAACCTGGCCCCTTCATTGACTAGTGAAGGAGTAACTTTCCCGGTGCTTGCTTTTCTTCCTTTTCATTTTCTATCAAATTTTATTGTGATCTTGGGATTGGCTTCATAGTATCTGTACAGCACTCGTGCCATTTTGGATGCTTTGTGGGTGTATAATAATATATCTGGATTCAGGTGAATCAGTAAGTGACTTTTTAAAGTGAGCAAGATTCATTCAAAATGCAGCAATACTTACAACTGAATCTACAATTGAAGATTGTCATTCATAGCTATGTATGTACACAGCTGTGCTGTTCAGTTCTGTGAACGTTCATGGTTTTTTCCACTTGTTAGAGGCCAGTTCTTATGAAAGCCAAAATAGGAGCAATGCATAGAATTGAATGAACTTGAGTTAAAAAGAAGGAAGAAGCACAGAGTTGATAACCACGTGCACCAATTTTGCATGCACAGTACTGATCATTGGAAAGCATGTATAAATCATACACTGTATCAATGTGTGAAAGTGTTCTGTAAATGCTGCAATTTCATTTGAGTCATTCTACTGTGTATTTATGCAGTTTGAATTTGACATGCACATCAAGTGCCAAATCATACTTGAATTTTTAAAGTTTTTTTTTCTTAAGACTGTCTTCTGCCTTCTATTGAAATGGAATAGTATAAGGGCATCCTATTGTCTGTATTCTTTTTGTCTGATACACTGTAAATGCAAGATTTCAAAAATATAATTGTTAAACAGCCTTTATCAATAGGATTCATACCCAAATGTTTATAACTATCAGTGATCTTGCTTCTCTCCTGGTAAATACATTTCCATAAGTATTGCAACTAAACCATGGAAATTATGTATTCATGTCATATCCCTGGCTGAAAAGTGAAATGGCTGGGCAGTATGAAGTGTGCAAAGCTTTAATAGGAATGCTCATGTTTGCTTGATTTATTCTTTTAAACAGATGGACAGTAGTAGGAGGTGTAATTCTTTCAGCACATAAACTATTAGCCAGTGTTACTGCTTGTGTGGGTGGTGTGAGTCTTATATCAGCATACTATAATAGTGCACTTGTTTCAGAGCTAGACTGCTCCTGCTCCCCCATGGATCAACAGAGTTTTTTAAAGAGCTCTGTATTTAAATCTTTGAATCTGTCAGTTTGTAAAAACTGGATTTTGTCACATGAATAACACTGAGAATAATTGTGTTTTCCCTCCAGTACTTTCATTGTTCTGTAAAATTGGATTTGCTGTGGCTGGTTGTGTTGGTCTAATTTCATTTACCTTGAGGGCAGAGTGCTTAATAATGCCAAGGTGCACAAACTAGAGCAGGCAACACCATAATCTAGGGAGTTTTATATTTATATTTACACTTGTGGTTAAATTTTGTCCAAGCTTTAAAAAAAAATCTGCCTCTGATACTAATACGTGTGCGCACCCCCCCCCCCCCCAATTTTACTTGGCTCCTTGCAGTTCACTCACCCCTAGGGGCACCTGTCTTCTGCTGCATACCCATCAAGAATAATTGCACCATCTGGAAGACTTTTATGTACCTATAACTTGAGTTGAATCTCTCTAGGGAACTGGATTCAGGTAGACTATGAATGTGACCCCCGGAGCCATGTCAAGTGACTGCAGTGGCTTCTAGTTACTAAAGGATGGTCACCTTAGGCTTTATTTGTTTCAAGTCTCATGCAATTTGCTGTGGTGAAGATTGAATACATGTCACTAATATATTTCTGTTTACTACTTTGGGTGGAAAAGAAGTTCTAGTCTTAAGTAGCTGATAACTTGGACAAAGGCACAGTAAAGAACTATAGAATACTGAATGATAAAGGTCATATAATTGCATGTTATATTGCATGTCAATTACTTTGTGTCAAAATTCTTGCTCTGTATTCTGTCCACTGACATTTCTCCATCCAGAGTTGCTACTAATTAGCAGCTATCTTTATCATTAAACTGGAGTTCTTCACAGGTTATTGTTTATCCCCCATTTCTTCTTCAGTATTCTATTTTTATCTAATCTCTGCCTTATGGTAATAGCCTTCATTTACATTTTTGTTCAGCCAGAGTGAGGCTATCTGTGAAGACTGAACTTGTCTTCCAACTTCATAGTTTTCTGGTCTGAATATTGATTTCTTTTAAAGTAATGATACAATTTGCACATAATCTTTATGCTTAACTGCTTAACCAGAACATGTCTGATAATGCAGCATATTAATGCTATTTGGGTTTATATAAGCCTTATATGTATGCTACATGTATTTATTCCTCCTGCAAATATTTCCAGCGCACAAATTAATAATGAATCAACATGTTAAGTTTTGTTACTTTAGATTTTATAGTAATGAGAAAGATTCTGTCACTCAACATTAACTAAAGTCTGAAAACCGAAAGCACATTGGCTTTTGTAGAAAGAAACTTTCTAATAATCCAAATCATATGCAGCAACAATACCTTGCTTTTCCAAAGCTACTTTGTGTACAACTTACTTTTCCTCCAGTTAACCCAAGCATATCTGAATCTGAATGTTTTTATGCTACATTTTTAAAGAGAATGCCCTAGTGAACCCTAGTATTGACTATAGTTGGTAAAAGGGAACCAGATGAATAGTGGTCATCCCTAAGTACAGGACATGGAATAATGACCTTAAACTGCAGCACACCAAATTCAGGCTAGACACCAACAGAACCAGACATTCAAGGCCAAACTGAACAGTCATCTGGGTGGCTTGGCATCCTGTACCTGCCAGGGGTTGGCCTCCTGACCCCTTCCAACCCTACCATTCTATGAATCGAGGAAACTAGGAAAAATTGATCACAATTTACAGGTGATCCTGTCTTCTTCACAGGAAAACCTTCAGGTACCTAGTGCTAATGAATTCTGAATGTGCTGTCTTTCAGAAAGTTCAGACATTAACTTACGTATGTATGTATTTACCTATTCATATAGATACCTCCAAATATGGTTCAGATGGTCAGCTGCACACTGAGTTTATTCCGAACCTTTCAGCTGGGTTAGGCAACCTGCCGCCTTCCAGGTGTTCTGGACAACAACCTCCATAGTTCCTGACCATTGGCTATACTAGCTGGAGCAGATGAGAGTTGCAGCCCAAAGCTTCTGGAGGATACCATGTTGCTTACCCCAATCTAAAGTCATTTAGGTGGTAATTGGAACTCAACTAATGAGTGATGAAAAATAATTTAGAGATCTAAAGTACTGTTCTCTTATTTTGTCTCTTTGGCAGAGGTTTTGTGTCTGATAGCAGGAACAATATGCAGATGAGAGGTCTGGTGGTTTTACTTGTGTCTAAGGCAGCTGGACCCAGTATAACAACAGAAAACTCCCTCCAGAATGACATGATCAGTGGGATATATCCCAGGTAAGTATTTTGCTAATGTAAAACAAGACTTTTTTCTTTGCAGATTGTGCCAATATTTGCCTTTAGCAAATGATATATGAATGATACTTAGAAAAAGTTTTCGCTTTTGTTTCCACCTGTGATATAATTTTGTTTTCTAACCTACACAGCAATTTTGTGTCTCAAATTCCATATAGTACTTACAGTATCCATGCTTGAAACATATCTGAGTTATTTAAAGCATGTCTAAAGAACCTGCAACCACACAGATGTTGTAGGGCTCCAGTTCCCATCAGTCCCTGCCAGCCCGGATGATGGAAGTAGCAGTTGAATAACTGGAAGACATAGTTTCCCCATGCCTAATTTAAGGTACTTTTGCTCAGCTTTTTAATTAAAAGCCTGATAAAGATCATTAATAAGACAATTCTTACCCTCAGGCTTTCAGTAAAAGACTGGCACAAAAAGAAAAAGGATTGGGTAAGAGGAGGAAAAAACCCAAGCATGCACACTAGGTCTTAGTTACCATATGACTTCATCATGCCCAGAGTATATGGACTTCCTTCTGCGGAGTGCTCATGCTTCAAAAACAAGCTTGGCAGACTCCAACAAATAGCTTTGGGTCCCAACCTTATTATTTTCCAAAGGTGTCCATGAGGAGAAGGAGGGAACCCAGGTCAGCTGATGGATACAGCAGCAAATGGAAATGGTGAAGAAAGGAGTTTATTTTTCTATGTCTTAATAAAGCAATGTACATACAGGACACTAATAATGAACAATAGTGTCTGCCTTAAGAAGATGGGAAAATACATGTATCATCTTTCTACCCAATTTGAAGTATGTTGCATGTCTCAGTTGCCTAATCTACATTCTCATATTGGACAATGCACTTCTAAAACACATTCTTCTTTGAGCATGAACCTTTTTTCTTACATCAACATCTCTTTGAAAGCAGAAAAAAAACTTAAAGAAATTCTGAACTTGACTCTGAACCCAGCTATGCTAGTGGAGATCTAACACTCACTCCTGCTCTCCTGTTCCTCATTTCTTTCTATTCAAGTACATGTCTCTAACCTGGAGGTGTCCAAAGACAGACTGAAGTGGTGGACTGGGTTTACTCTTCCAAGTCTACTTGTTTTTCCTTTAAGTTGGGTTGATGATCCACCAACTTGTATTAAATGTACAAAGCAAGAGCACATATATTAGGGTTCTCTTATTAGTTGAAGTATAATTAATCCATGTGCTAAGTGATCATGATCATGTTGTCTTGCCAATTAATATTAGAGTCCTTCTGATTCATTCCAAGGTTTACATAGCTCAAACTGCTCTGGACAAATTTCAGAAACCAGCAGACACAAAGTAACCATGAATCAACAATAATCTACTAGTGGATTGTACAGACAGTCCCTGTGTTACGAACCATTTCTATTCCTGAGAAAATGGAAATTTTCATTTAATCAAATTTATATGGATCATGTATAGTTGGCCATCCACATTCGTGGGGGTTAGGAGCACAGGACCCCTGTGAAAGTAGAAAAACCATGGATATAATCCCTCCTGCCCCCAAACTCCCTAGGAGTGCCTCTTTGCAGTGATGAAACGCTGGAGGGATTTCCCTCTCCAGATGGTCAGGGCAGGAAGACATGCTTTGGAGGCTGCCCTCTCTCCCCTTTTGCTTCCCCTGGCTTTCTATGGTGATGGCGATTTTTGCAGTAATTTAAAAAAAATAATCGGCTTGATGGCAGCTCTTTCATAAGTTTGGGTTGTTCATAATTTGGATGTTCATAATTCCAGGACTGCCTGTAGTTTTATTTCTATCGAACTTAGTTTGCTGTATGATTGGACAGGGTACAAAATATTTCCTTCCATTTCAGAAGTTCTTCATTGTTTGTCCCTTGGAAGGTGAGGTAGTGGGGGGAAAGGAATAACATTTTCTGCATTAATATGCTAGCAATGCCAGTTCTAATGAAAGCAACCTTAAATACGCTTGCTAATTTGTCTTAAATGTCACTAAAAGGGAAAGCCCTTTATCTTAAATGTCACTAAAGGGGATAATGGTTCTGATCTAAAGAAAAGCACAGGAGACTGTGCATGCAAAGCAATGTGTGGTTTTTCCTTGTTTAATGTTGCAGAACTGTAACTGAAGTAGGAGCCCCTTAATCCACAATCTTGGAACCCCTCTGTATCTCCCTTGCATCTTGATTTCACTGTGATACTTCAAATAAACAGAATCCAATCCAACTGTATGTGTTTTTAGCAGCATTCTCAGAAGTCCCATATTGCTTTTTGACTACACATGTAGCCACATGTAGCCTACATTCAGTAGGCTGAAATTAATCCCAAGCAGTGGTTAGAGAAAATAGAACAGAAAGAGAAGTAAATGGGTTCCCTGTTCCCTCTCACCATTCCCCAAACATAGTATACATAATTCCTAATTATTTGTTCAAGAATCCATGCAAAGCCCTGGCTGCTGCATCCAGTTTTTTAGTGAGAGGGAACACGCAACCATTTGTGCACACCGTTCTTTGTACTGTTAAGGAAACATGAACAAACCTGCTTCTATGTGTAGATGTTTCTAACTGTGTAAAAATTGTAGGATTTTCCATTTGTCCTGCTTTTGTTGCATTACTCTTTCCCACCGCTGACTGTGAAATTTTAGTTTGATTAGGGCATGTTCTTACTGGTTAGTTCTTCCATCTCCTCCAGTTTCATGAAAACTATAGCTAGGCAAAAATGAGCTAGCAATCTTGCATGAAGTCTGGCACATTTGGGTTTGGTCAATGTCTGGGTGGGAGAGAACTTGGGGATCCTGTGTAACCTTAAGCTTCATTTTGGAAAAAAGGCAGTATGTAAATATAAGAAATAATATCGAAAAGAACTTAAATCAATACTAAAAGATTCATAGAATTATGGAATATTAGAGTTTGAAGGGGCTTGAGGGCCATTGGTTCCAACGCACTGTTCTGTGCAGGACTCCAAGTTAACCATCCCTCTCAGATGGCTGTCCAATTGCATCCACAGCCTCCCTTGTTAATTGGTTCCATTGCCATTCCTGATATTTAGCCAGAATTTGGCTTCCTGTAACTTGAACCCATTATTCAGTGTGCCGAACTCTGGTGTGATCAAGAAGAGATCTTGGTCATCTTTGTGACAGCCTTTCAAGTATTTGTGGGGTGCTATTATATCTCCCCTCAGTCTTCTCAAGTTTAAACATGTCCAGTTCTTTCAATCTCTCTTCATAGGGCTTTGTTTCCAGTCCTGGGACCATCCTTGTTGCCCTCCTCTGAACCCTTTCCAGCTTATATGCATCTTTCTTAAATTATGGTGCCCAGACACAATACTCCAAATGAGGCCTAGCCAGTGATGAGTACAGGGGAACTAGTATGTCATGTGATTTGAAAGTGATACTTCTATTAAAACAGCCTAGAATTGCATTTGCCCTTTATACAGCCACATCACATTGTTGACTCATATTCAGCTTGTGATCTGCAACAATTCCGAGAGCCTTCTCACTAGCAGTATTGCTGAACCAAGTATTCCCCATCTTGTAACAATGCATTTGGTTTCTTTTTCCTAGGTTCAGAACTTGGCATTTGTCCCTATTGAGTTTCATTCTGTTGTTTTCAGCCCAGTGCCTTGAATCACCTTGAATCTTATTTCTGTCTTCAAGGGTATTAGCTATCTCACCCAATTGCACTCATCTGAAATCTGGTAATTGTTCCCTGCATTTCCTCATCTGAATCTTTAGTGAAAATAGTGAAGAGCACTGGGCCCAGGACTGAACCCTGCAGTACTGCACTTATTACCTCTCCCCAGTTTGAGAAGGTGCTGTTGATGAGCTCTCTTTGAAACCTGTTCTGTAGCCAACTGAGGATCCACCTAATTGTTGTTCCATCAAGCCCACTTTTAGTTAGTTTGCTAATCAGAATACCATGGAGTACTTAGGCAAAAGCTTTGCTGAAGTAAAGATTGATTATGTCCACAGCATTCCCACAGTCTATTGGGGAGGTTACCCAATCAAAAAAGTAGATTGATCTGGCAGTATTTGTTCTTGAGAAGTCCATGTTGGCTTCTAGTAATCACAGCATTGTTTTCAAGGTGTTTGCAGACTGACTGCTGTATTAACTGCTACAAAATTTTCCCAGGGTCTGATGTCAGACTGAATGGTTTATAGTTCTCAGGTTCATCGTTTTTCCCCCTTTCTTAAAGATAAGGACAATATTAGCCTTTCTCCAGTCATCTGGCACTTCCTCTGTCATCCATGATTTGTCAGAGATGATAGAAAGTGGTTCTGAGAGTTCTTCCACCAGCTCCTTTATGATTCATATGCATGATCAAAACATAACAGTGCTTAGACATCAGGAGTTAATCACATGTATTACAGATATTTAACCCATTGTGGGTGTGGAGCATGTTGCATTACTTGCTTTTATGAAATACCATTTTAAATATGCATATTGTACATTTTAGACATATATATCATGGTAGTTTGTGCTACCCTTACTCATGAAAAATAAAGTTTGCGATGATAGTCTCTAAAATAACCAAAAAACATAATTTCTAGTGTATTTAATTCCTTATTTGTCCTTGCTCCACTGTACAATAGAGTACTACAGACAGGGGCTCTGTGATCCCTAGAATGTTATTCAAAATCAGATGCATAGATCAAATTTTCCCACAGTGTGACAAAACAGTCTTATTTATTTAATTTTATTTATTCTTGGCACTTTGTTTCTATATGAAGTATTCTTCAAGGAACACATTCTTCTGCTGTAGGTTATATAGTTGCCTTGTAGTTACATGAATGGATGAAGTGTGTGTGTGTGAATCAATAAATTCCTGGCACTGTAATTAATATTTTCATTGCCTTATATATGGCTTGCTATTAAATATAATTCTGATATTTCCTTAAGTAATTAGTGATAATGTGTTGTTTTTTAAGCTCTTTCATAATCCTGCCAACAATGATGGCTACACATGCCTTGTTCCCTGTTTATGGTGAGATACCTACATTTTTAAAATTC